CACAGATACAGGTTTGAAGCCCAAAGAAAAAACCCCGATACGAGTAAACAACTAACAAAAGCGCTCAATACAACCGTAGAGCAGACGGATCGTCAGGGAAAGCCGGCTTTCCCTGACGATCCGTTTAAATGAAAACGTGGGTAGGTCTGTCTGGCTCACTAGGTTTATCTATCATATATATATATATATATATATATATATATATATATATATATATATATATATATATAAAGATTCAGAGAAGATACGTTACGGCGGTGGGAAAGTGACTAAAGCCGAAGTGCCAGGTCAGGGCTAATAATAATGCGGATTCTTTTTTGTAGTAAAATTAACTTTATGTAATGAATAATAGGATTTTTAGATAAAACTTGCAGCGTAAAAACAGAATCGAAGAAAATAAATAATAAAAACAAATTGTTAAAAATTAAACAAAACATAAATTTAACTGTCTTGGAATAGATTGTTTAACATTTTCTAATAAGAAAGAGTAAAAAAAAAAAAACTTGAACTTACTTTTTTATTTGTTAATAACCAAAATGCAGATTAAGTAAAAATTAATCCAGTTGATCATTAGTAGATTTGATTTTATGAATAAAAATTTCATAGAAAAGACCATTAAGTGAACTTATAAGTAACAAGAACAAGTTTCTTAAATTATGTTTTTTTTCTAGTGAAGTTCGCACTAAATGTTTATTTTTGTAATGAAACAAAATAATTTAGTAAAACCAAATGAAATAAAATAAATAAAACTTAAATATACTCCAAATAAATAAGTTAAAGGTATTCCAAGTGCAAAATGATATATTTTTTCTTAAATGTAAGTCAACTACAGCAATGAACGTCCGCAAGCCAAACCTAAAAATATTTGCTCCCATGGGAAAACGAAATTTCAGATAGGCCTCCAGTTCTGAGCGAGACTTACATTATAAGATGGCCTTTAATAAAGAACACCATAACTTGTACATTTATAAATCTTCGTCACTATTCGACAAGTAACTTCCTGTTCACTTGATTTGAGTGCGTACTTAATTTCAGTTCGGTCGAATTTTGGAATTACCGACTGACTGAAGGGATTGACGAATACAGGTTTATGGTTCAATATATATGTAGGCATATTTCAAGGCTTTCCATAAGTAAGAATTGGGTGTGCCAATGAGAATTTGCCCTATACACAGTCAGTGGGGTTTAAATCTGGTGAACGTGGATACCGGTGGAATACTTGGAACTAGTTTCGTGTTACTTTAACTTGCCGGAAGAAACTATCACGACCAGAATCCTAAAATGGTCTGGAACATGAACGTTGTTTAAAGCACAACTGTCAAAACAAATACCAGCTTCCCTGTTGGTTTTTGATGCTTCCAACAAAAGACACCCCTGCACCGTTATGGAGCTGTCACTTTCCTAAACTCTGTTGATATGCTTCATCCATAGCTATATACGCTCCCCTTCACATGCAAACTCTTCCGTTTACCTGAAAGATATGTAACTGCGACTCCCCAGAACGATAGAACGCCAATCTTTTACGATACAATGGTGACTGTTTCTTGTTCATATGAGACTCAGTAACTGATTCTGTGGTGTTCAAATGGTGTCATTGTTGGTTGACAATATTGAAACTACATTGAACACAATTTACAGATAAGTGTGCCATAAAGAAAGTCGAAAGCACATGAAAGAATCGCGAAACAAAAAAAAAATGAACCGAATGAATTTAATATAAGAAAAACCATATCAGAACTATTAATTTTGAAAAAAGATATAATCTGAAACAAAATAAACATGAAACTTTATTGTTTAGAAATAAAGTCACAATTCTTATGCTGATTTATTTTATTATAAACTAGTTTAAAAGTCTACACGGGGTGCGGCTTTTAAGCTCACCTCTGCGGAGGGCTAATTAGCCCTACGGCCCAAAACTAACAGAACCTCTGCTGCGGCTTAGAAAACAGCGATGATAATTTTTAAGAAATAACTTAATTCCTCAGTTCATTCCATGGAACTGCAAAAATTCACTTTAATTCTTATTCAGGATATAAGTCCAATTCCGACCAAAGACATATTTCAGCCGAAATTCCAATTCAAATTGAAAATTGAGTTCTTCAAATTACAAATTCTGCGGATTTCAAAACCTCACGTCACGAAATCTTTCACCTTAACGCTGATTCCTTGGCATTTTGAAGAAATAAAATTAATTTCCTCAATTCACAAAGTTTTGGAAATATTTCAGACTGAATTTAAAACATTTTTAAATTCCCAAAGTTTTCATGTCACTTTAAACTCAATATAATTTTTTTAAAATTTTAAATCACTTTATTTTCTCAGTTATTTTCAAATTTCAATTTGTAACTTTTCCCCCTCCTCATCCAGACACAAATCCCAATGGTGGTTGTTCATGCACAAGATGAAGAGCAGATTTACAATTCCGGGATCATCCCGATTCCAAAAAGGAATAATATGTCTATGTAGAGTAAGTGTGGCCCGACTTGGAGTGGTTTCATACGGACACAGAATTTGCCATTTATTTAGATATACGTTTTTATGTTTACAGAAGTAGAAAAAAAATACTACTAAAATGTCTGATTTAGCGGTAGGATGAGCGCTAACGTTTTGTACCCCACGTTTGAAATGTCTAAAAATATCAGATTAAATTTATTGAATTTAATCATGTCATTAACTTTTATATATATATATATATATATATATATATATATATATATATATATACCAGTGACAGGACCCAAAGAGTTCAATACCTGGTTAAGGCGGTGAAGAACTTGGAGAGGGGAATTAACAGGAGATAACTGATGACATCCATTAGACATGGCACGTGGAATTAGAACAATCTACCCCAGTGAGCGAAATAAAGGGTTCAGTTCGACATTCCAACCACCTGAAGAAAGCCGGAGCGTACAACGGCCGAAATGTTGTAATAAATATGGCGACAAAGATAAGGGTAATAGTCCGAAAAATGTAAATAGTGTAAGAGATAGGGATAGAAGGAGAAAGGAAAGAGATAATATTACTGGTAATTTAATTTCTATTTCCTGTTCAAGAAAGCTCCTCTGCCTCTAGAATACTATCCCCCACTACACACACACACACACACGCACACACGCATTACTGTTGCCCGAGAAGAAACCTTAAACAGCTTCTACTTCTGTGTCACGACCTCACCTTTCTCGTGCCAACAATCATTTCACGGTCAGTGTTAATCCTCGTTCGTGTTATGGCTGCTACAGCTACACAACCTTTTTACCTGTAACATCACATGTCCGAGTTGTCTCTATTTTTTATTTCGCTAGATGCCTAACGCTTGTTTCCATGTGAACAAATAAGCTGGCTGAGTGAATCAAGGTTTGAAAGCATTTCACCTGTTTAGTGAGCACAATCCTCCCCAGCTGCCCCATGCGTGTCTTGCACCAAACTAAGCTAAAGTAAGTACACATACGACGCTATGTTGACATTGCAGCTGGCATCGAACAAACACAGACAAGCATCAGTTCTAACCATTTTTATCACATTCTCCCGATTCTTATTCTTGTGTGGAAGCTGTTTATCAGTCTATTACTTTCATGTTTTTTCCTTTGTCTTCTCTCTCTTCTTTTCTCTTCTCTCTCTCTCTCTCCCCTTGTCTTCTCTCTCTCTCTCTCTTTTCTTTTTCTCTCTCTTCTCTCTCTCTCTCTCTCCTTCTCTCTTCTCTCTCCTTCTCTCTTCTCTCTCCTTCTCTCTTCTCTCTCCTTCTCTCTTCTCTCTCCTTCTCTCTTCTCTCTCCTCTCTTCTCTCTCCTTTTCTCTCTCCTTCTCTCTTCTCTTCTCTCTCTCTCTCTTCTTCCCTCTTCTCTTCTCTCCTTCTCTCTTCTCTTCTTTTCTCTCTCTCCTTCTCTCTTCTCTTCTTTTCTCTCTCTCCTTTTCTCTCTCTCCTTCTCTCTTCTCTTCTTTTCTCTCTCTCCTTCTCTCTTCTCTTCTTTTCTCTCTCTCTCCTTCTCTCTTCTCTTCTTTTCTCTCTCTCTCCTTCTCTCTTCTCTTCTTTCTCTCTCTCTCTCCTTCTCTCTCTCTTTTCTCTCTCTCTCCTTCTCTCTCTCTCTCCTTCTCTCTCTCTCTTCTCTCTCTCTTCTTCTCTCTCTTCTTCTCTCTCATCTTCTTTCTCTCTCTCTCTCATATTCTCTCTCATCTTCTCTCTCTCTCTCTTCTTTTCTCTCCCTTCTAAAAAGAAGTGTTTTTCAACCAAATATGGGAAGTTGCACCGTATAACCGTTCCTCGATGCAACAACGAAAAAATAAGTTAAAATTAGGCATGGCGGCCTCCTCATTAAAGACTGTTCGGGTGAAAAATATGACGAGGGAATCGAAAGTTGGAAGAGTCTCTGGTTACAGACTGTTCGTTTGTGTAACCAGTGCAGGCGAAAAATCGCACCGAAAAACATCGAAATAGGACCACTGAAATTGCCTCGAGCCTGTCTTTCAAATGTTAACATGGTCGTTACTGAGGTGATGGGGGCGGGGTGGGTGGGTTAGTGAAATGTCCAAATCATAAAGGATCGGTAGTAATTACGGTCTAACACCGAGAAGTTTAAGGTGGAAATCTCTTCCACTTGACATAAGATACTTTTTAGATATATTTTTTTAAATTAACGAACACTTTCAGTATTGGAATTTACAATTCAGGATCTATAAAATATTTTTATTTTTTTATTCCTTTCTTCCGTATAACTGTGTGTGTCTCACGCTGTATATATATATATATATGTGTGTGTGTGTGTATGTCTCTTTCTTTAATTCTCACTGTGTCTCTGGGAGTGTCTCTCTTTTTCTCTCACTGTGTGCGTCTCTCTCTCTCTCTCTCTCTCTCTCTCTCTCTCTCAGTCGTAGAACAGAGGAATGAATCGATCTGTCTGAATTGCCGGTTCGTGAAAGATAAGAAAAGGAAAACTGGATGTCTGAACAGATGGGGAAAAAAACTTAAGTACACATGCCTTAAGGGTCTCTTAGCGCGAAATGGGCTTACGGCCATATCACGTCGAAATACTAGCTCCCGTACGATCACCGAAGTTAAGCAACGTTGAACCAGGTTAGTACGTCATCTGAGTGACTGCTTGGCAATACCAGAAGCCGTAAGCTTGTGGATGTGCAAGTGGTGTAAGTGATAAGGGCTCGGAATGTGAAGTCGGAAAGCCGAGTCAATTGGTAGAAGTGAGTCAAGTAAATTCCACAATGATTCTCCAATTGCAGGGTATCTTCCAACCACCCCACGCGGTCAGATGTGGCACAAGACCACATTTAATGTGGGGTATCCGAGCCCGTAGGTGCGGGCCAAAATTCCCCGTAGACCCCGTGTAAAACTGGGTCGGGTAGCTGACTCTGCCCTTCGATATAGCCTCATCTGGGGATTCCCTCTGCCCGGAGGCAGCGAGTTTGACCAGCATAGCTGGAAACGAATCTCTAACTACAGACCAACATACAGTATTTAATACTGGATTTATGTGAATGGGGACATACTCTTTATCGTTCGTAGTCATGGTACAACAAGTTTTCCTACTTGTTACTTAATTAATTACATTATCGAATTAAATCTTTATCTTCACTAATATATATATATATATATATATATATATAATTTCCTGATAGTGTATCTGTAAAGGAAAACAAATGGCAAAAATTATTCTCATTCGACGCATTTCGTCCTCTCAGGTACTTTACCAAGGCAAATGAGGGATTTATTTTGTTGCACGTGATCATATACAAGAGCAAGATTGTAATCGGTTTATGAAGTCTTTTAAATTTAAGAACGTTCATGAATATTCATGAGATGATTGAAAGGGCAGTCCTCCACTTGTTTTGACTGACCTTTCAACCACCCGGTGGATATTCATAGACGTTTATCGACTAAGAATAGTTTTTCCTCTTGTCGGTTTATATATATATATATATATATATATCTGTTGGAGCAGCAGATCATTATTCAAACATTGTTAAATATAACAGACAATGAACTTCGTATGGTTGCTTTAATTTCGGGTGAAAATAAATGCAAAAATTGTCCAACATTTGGATATTTTTTATTGTGCTGTCCCGTGATCTAAAAAAAAGTAATGAAATAGTAAATAAAATATTAGAGTTTAGGTGGCGAAGTTAGAAGTGTAGATTTTAGAAGTAGCGGGAAACCTAATTCTAAACGGGAAACAAGTGATAAACTTCTATTCTTGTTCAAAAGACCGGGGAGGAGTGTGAGCCGAACGATAGGTGAACCTATTCACTAAGTGGTAGCAAATCATTGCAAATGACGGTGAATATACAGGGTGGTCAAAAAGTCTTGTCACCCCTACATAATATAATTTTCTACCTCAGATGGCTGACACAAGCTACTACACGAAAATGACGGTGCTATATAAAGACCTTCTCGATATGTGACAGTGTCAATGAAAGTGAATAAAACTGAATCCAGTACATGTGCTTTGTATTACTTGTTCTTCTATTGTCCTCATTACTTTTTGGTAGAGAGAGAGAGAGGTGACAAGACTTTCAGACCACCCTGTATAACTAAATGAAAATGTAAATTTATTTTATTTTCAAGAATAAACTTAACCAAAATCGAAAATTATTAATGACTCAACTTAATCAATTGACATTCAATATCTTCAATATTTCATTTCAAAATAAAAAGTAAAGTCATCAGGCTGATCAATCATCTGTCAAGTTGCTGCGCATATCTCATGGGGCATTTTACAAAATGATTTCATTTTATAAAGCAACTTTTTTTTATTTTTAAAAAAATGTTTCATTCCGATGTTCTCTAGTCTCGTCGAAAACTAGTTCAGGAACAGTTATTCAAGCTAGTAGGAACGTTTAATAAAAGACAAAAGGTCCTTAATTCAAAACCAAAGTACGTTTATTAAAAACTTACATATTTTTAATGCCAAACTGGGGGACCTTTATGCAATAACATGAGTACTTTTAATAAAAAAAATTTAAAATGATTTTTATTTATGAAATGCTTGCTATTGTTAATTTAAATTTTAAATACACACACTATATATATATATATATATATATATATATATATATATATATAGAAAAGGAAAAACCGTACATGGAACCAACGGACAAATTGTCAAAACCTAAAACTCATATTCAAATAAAATCTTGAATATAGACAAAAATACTGAAAAAAAAGAGGAAAAAGGTAAACTTACCTACTCAGTAAATTACACGAAGCCTAAATTGCCTCGACTGTGCAAAAACGCGTAAAATCCTATGAAAGGATGGTTTCAGTCGTAATCCGAGTTTCACGCTCTCTCACAATCTTCAGAAAACTTGAACGAAAAGGAAAGAATGGAGATCCGAGATTTATATAACCCGTGAATCGCCATAAAGCATCACGGAAATATATATATATATATATACACACACACACACACTTTAAATAATTATGAAGTCAGTGTTTGTTGAAATACATCTCATTTTCAAAATTTAATAGAATCTATAGACATTATTTTATTGTTTTTTTTCAACGCCTGTTTTCAAACTGACGTCTGTTCTGGTCCCGCCATTGCTGACAACGCAAAGCAATGGAATCGCAAATATCACCAAACATTTCGTTTGGTATCTTTGTGCTTTCCCATTCAATGGCTGCTCTCAATTTAGCGACTGTTGCAGGTTTCACAGCGTAGACTTATCTTTTAAGTATCCCCATAAAAACTCTAGGGGTGTGAGGTTTGGTGAACTCGGAGGATATTCTACGAAACCTCTTCGTCCAATCCATTTGTTTGGCAAGATTTCATCAAGGTAGGATATAACATCGTGATAGAAAAATAAAACTCCTCATCTCACTTCAAAGTCCTCTTTATCGCCTGGCATATCAGACTGTTGCAGCAAGTTCAAGTAAACGAGACCAGTCACATTAGCGTAAAAAAATGGTCTAACTAATCCTCTGATGATATATCGCACCATAATGTAACTGCTGTTAAATTAACATGATGTTCTACCATAACATGCGAGTTCTCAAGTCCCCAGGAGGTGCTATTAATTGAACCATTTCATTTGGATCTTAGTTAGAAAGTGTATATCTTCTACACATCGTACGAAATACCACTCGCAATACTCCACTTTTTGGTCTGGATCATCGTCATTAACAGCGTGAACTAATCTTGGAACGTAACTTTTCTATTGACATTGCTTCAAAATGCGTATGACAGAGGATTTTAAAATATCTACCTCACGACTCGCTTGCCACACAGATTTTCTTGGACTTTGGTGATACGTTTCCAGTACTTTTTCTTGCATTGTGGGGTGAGTCTATGTCCGTGGTCTTCCGGAACGCTTCTCGTGGATATTCTCAACAGTTCCATTGGATTCAAACTTATCTCTAATTCGAGTGATGGCAACCGCATTGGTGGGTTTGATTGAAATTCCCCACCTAAACTGTCTTTATACTTCAACATCAATCAGCTAAATGACATTTGTATAAATCATTATATAACAGACAATGAATGTCTATTATGTTTGATCACGAGCCGTTCTAAACTTCGTATCGTTGTTTTAATTTCGAGTAAAATAAAAATTATATATATATATATATATATATATATATATATATATATATATATATATATATATTTATACAAATAAAATATCATTTAGCTGACGTTTTGTTATTGTTCAGTCCACTAGTCAGTAAATTTCAGCAACTGACTGTTGTTTTTCTCATTTTTCGTTATCTGTTGTACCAAGTTTGATGTATGTATGTCAAGGAACAATTAAGTGAATAAATTACATATTTAACTATTTCTTTAGTTTCGTCAAAAATTTCTGATTTACTAGCGAAACATCTGATTTATAAAGGCTTTTCTACTTATTATTTAAACATTTTGTCGAATTTAATCCATATTTTCAACAAAAGCACACACACATACACACCTATATATATATGTAGGCGTGTGCGTGTTGAAAGAATGTATACATACTTTAACAGCTGATAGCTTAATCGATTTTTTTTCTTTTCAAGTTGAACTTATTAGAATTAATGATTACAGAATAAACTAAGCTTTGAACAAAGGAAATTCATTCTAAAATGTTACTGGAAGTGTGAAAACACAGTTGAAGTGCAAAGACAGTTGAGATGAGGAGCTTCAAAAAGATCCACCAATGCGACTTAACATCACTCGAATTAGAGGTGACGTTAAAGCCGATGGAACTGTTCAGAATATCCACGAGAAGCGTCCCAGAAGACCACGGACATAGACAAGCTCCACAAACCAAGAAAGTGTACTGGAAATGTATAAAAAAGTTCAAGAAAATCTGTGCGGCAAGCGAATCGTGAGTTAGATAATTCAAAATGATTACTTTCCAAGATCAGTCCATGCTATTAATAATGATGATCCAGACTGTGGTTTATACTGCAACTATGCTGAGCAGACTTTAGTTACAGTTTCTTGGAGGGAGCGTGTTATCTACCGTGATCAACAATTTGAACAAGGCCAACACGTTCAAACCTTCGGCCACGATGACTTCTGGCTTCATGCTAGCACAGCTATCGACGGCCCACAAGAGTTCTGTCTTTGCAGTTTCATTCACAAGGCTTGGGTCAACCCGTGGTATTGTTTTCAATCACTTTTCTATATATATCATCAAAGATGTATACACACCTTAACAGCTGATAGCTTAATTGATGCTTTTTCTTACCAGGTAAAACCCATTAGAATTAATGATTACAGAAAAAACTAAGCTTTGAACAAAGGAAATTCAATCTAAAATGTTCCTTGAAGTGCGAAAACACAATTGAAGTGCAAAGACAGTTTAGATAGTTTCAAACAGATCCACTAATGCGACTTAACATCACTCGAGATGAGTTTGAAGCTGATGGAACTTTTGTTTTGAAGTAGGGACCTTTTGTCTTTTATTAAACGTTCCTACTAGCTTGAATAACTGTTCCTGAACTAGTTTTCGACGAGACTAGAGAACGTCGGAATGAAAAATTTTTCTAACAATAAAAAAAAGTTGCTTTATAAAATGAAATCATTTTGTAAAATGTCCCATGAGATATGCGCAGCAACTTGACAGATGATTGATCAGCCTGATGACTTTACTTTTTATTTTGAAATGAAATATTGAAGATATTGA